AGTCTTGTAAGAAGTAGTAGGTATTAGTAGGTTATACCTTAGAGCGCATGGAAATTTCACTCTTGCGGGCTTGGTGCCGATGTCTGGGGTGGCCCTACTGGCGGGTAGCTGGCTGGTTGAGAGGTGGTCTGATTTCCGCTGCACGAACGAAAGGATGGGCTTACATGAGCAAAAAGACGAGCGCATGGATATGAGGCAGCCGGGGGTTCACTTTTGTTCACTCGATGCCGTTGTCAGGAGCGGCCCAGCTAGGTTGTAGATGGCTATTCAAAAGGTAACATATTTTCCATTCAATCAAGGTAAGTATAGGCACACGGATATACCACTATTGGGACTGCCCTTTTGCTCGCGCGACACCACTGCTAGAGGTGGCCCCGCTAGCAGGTAGCTGACCAGTCACACGGTAACCTAATCTCACATTCATAAATAGAAGCATAGGCACACGGATATCCCACCGCTCAAGCTCTACGCTTGCCCCCTCGATACCGCTGCCAGGAGTGCCCCTGCTAGCAAGTAGCTGGCCAGTTAAGAGGTAACGCGATTCCCACTACATCGCTTGTTATATCCTAGTTAGAATCCTAAAAGCCTATAAGGGTACTCCAAACGGCGGTATTATCAACCTTGTTCTCCGTTTTTTTTGGTGCTGATACCAGTCTGGTTGTAATCTCCTCTTTTTAGAGCACTCGAGAATCTCACCGCTGCAGCTTCACTTTTGCTCGTTCGACACCGCTGTGAGGAGAGGCCTAGCTGGGGTGCAGCGGGTTGGTGAAGAGGTAGTTTCATTGCAACGGCATTGATTTTTACATCTTGGTCGGAAATCTAAAAGCACGTGAGGGGACTCTAAGCGGTGGTATGTTGTTCTTCTTTTCTGTATTCTTAGATGCTGATATCCGTCTTTGTTGCCCGCAATCCTAAGCTGTAAGTTTGGCCACTCGGAAATCTCCATACTGGGCGTTTGATTTTGCTCGCGCGATGCCACTGTTAGGGGTAGCTCAGCTAGTAGACAGCCGGTCAGTCAAAGGGCAGCCCAATCTCTACTCTTTAATTATTTACATTCAACTTGAGGTCTAGGAATCTTATTGGGATACTCCAAGCAATGGCATTGTCGGTCACTATTCTATTTGCTTCACCGCTGGTTCCCCTTCTGCTTCCATGCACCATAATTTTAGAGCCCTACAATCCTAAACCGTAAGTTTAGGCACTCGGATATAACACTGTCGGGGCTTCAATCTTGCTCGCACGATGCCACCGTGAGGAGGAACTCAGCTAGTAGGCAGTCGGGGAGTCAAGAGGAAGCCTTTCCACTCATTCATCATTTACGTCGTGTTGGGAGTCGTAAACACCGGAGGGTGAGACGAGGTGGTTGAGGCAATGGGGGAGCCTGTCCGCTATCACATTCACTCCAAAGCGCGCCAGCGACCTTCAAAACCAGATCTGCGGCCATGAAGCCAACTCTACGCCCAACACCACACCGCAGACTCCCGCCCCAATCACCACTACACCACCCGCGCAACTGACCGACATCATCAAGAGGAGCTCCATCAACGCAACCAAACAAAACCCACATTCCCTCACCCCACCGCCCACCATGCCCGCAGCTCTCACCCCTGACCTTCAAGTCAAACCCACCACTCTCCCTCCCTGCCGCGCCGACGCGTCCGAGGTCACTCTCCCAATCCGCGCGAACCCCGCCCCGACTCGCGCAACCGTAGTCGTTCTCCCGTCTCGTGGGAACCCTAACTTCACCAACGCGCCCCTGGTCGCCGCGCCTCCGAAACCGAAGAGGTTCCCGCCGAAAGAAAGGAAAGTCCCGAGCCAGCTTCACCTTCAGCTCCAGCAGCAGCCGCGTCCGGTCCTCGTGATGGAGGATCCGAATTATACGAAGATGGTACACCCTCCATATCTTTCTTACCGGCCCCTTTGCCTCGTCGCATCTTGCTATTTGCTGAAAGATTTGCGTTGACTTGCTTTGCTCACGTTTTGCTTGTTTGCTCGCGTACTTGATGTCGGGTCGACATAGCTTAGGGCCGCCTTCCACTCCCTCATCGATACGCCCGCCTACCCTTTCTGGAACTTGCTTACGCTTCGGCTGTGGTCAGAAGAGGTGGCGATTGCGACGAATCTAAAGGAGAGGCTGGGGGAGAAGGAGGCCATGAGGGGGGGAGTGTGGCCGTGGGGGAAGAAGTTTTGATGAGAGCATGACGATGGACGGGGGCAGGGAGAAGAGATGTGGAAAAGGGAAAGAAAGTTGGGGTGAGAGGATGGGGTAGGGATACTTCTGGCGGATTCTTTTGAGCGGCCGAGAACGAAGCTATATTCTGCGGAGAACGGAAGAAACGAGATCCTTTCGGCATAGGTCAAGCAGCTCTATAAGGAGATAGGAAAGGCACGACAGCATGACAGTACTAGGCCGTTTCCAGTTCCACGATTGAAGGTCTTGATGTGGTGAGGATATATTGGGGCATTCACCGTGCCCACTAGACTCTGTTCGAACCGTAATTACCGCGCCGACACGACCCCACCAGAAACCACGAGCATCGACATCAACACGAAGAGCCCCCGAATCTCTACCAGAGTTAATACGGCCCAGAATCTTACCAAAAAACACACACCCACGCCGCCTAGACACACAGCCAGCCCGCACCCCCTCCGCGCCCCCCTCCAGCCAGCTCAACTCCACCCCTGAAACCCTTCTGCGACATAACCATCGCGCAGAAATACATAGGCTCTGCTCTCTCCGTGTCATACTCTCCTCCACCTTCGTCGTACCCACGTACAAACATGGGAGCGTAGCCAACTGTCAGCTCATCCCCTCGAACAGTGGTTCTCTATCCTCGCCGCGACTCCTTACCACCGCTACTGGACCAATCGTGTTATCTCTCGATGGGCGGATCGTGTCCTCTATTAGCTTAAGAGAGGGGGTATGAGGTATACTGGTTGGATGGGAGCTGATTGGGGTGTAGAAGTGGATTGAGAGGATTGTGGTGGAAATGGAGGAGAAGTGGCGGAAGGGGAGGGGTGGGGAGAAGTAGATGTATAGAGGAGGGGGCATAGGGAGTGGTTTTCAAGTTGTGGCTTGCGTGACGCCGGTGTGGAGAGAGGGCGATGGATAGAGCGGTGGCAGAGTGGAAACCTGCCACTGTCTGGAGTGTTTCAACCTATTAATAGAAACCGGGGCCAGCGAATACGCTCCCAATCTGCGTACGCGGAAGAGTGTACGGATTTCTATGACGAGGCATTGTAGTTTTACTAGTTTGCTAAGGCTACCGGAGCTTCTTTGTAGTCTAGCGAAGGGTTTATAGGCATGTAGCCCGTCTTGATGCTAGGATTAGTATATATTGGAGGAGAATCCATTGATGAAGTTGAGAGGCGGGACTGGTGCTAGATTTTGGCCCTTGTTTCTAAAAAAAAATTTCTACGAGGCCCCTCCTTCCATCACACACGTTCAGACATGCTCATGAATGATGCTCCAAGACTGGAGTACACTAGGTAGGTAGATGTGAAGTAGACGGAGATGGCGTTAACGTGGCGGTGCAATTTTGTCGAGACGCTGACTCTCATGCGCCACAGCTCCAGGCAACCTCGCGTCAGCAGCTTTCCTCCCAACTCATCGTCAACAGTCTCCGCGGGACACCTAGCTCATTTATCACTCATCATTTATGTTTTTCTCGCGTCTTTCACGATCTTATGTCTTACCTGAGCCATCAATCGCCCGGTCATTCGGTATAGCTTGTAGAGACAGACATCCGGCAACGCGTCAAACCTTGAAAAGACAGCACCGAGAGCTTTTCATTGCGGAGCAAGACGTAGGTTATATAGGAATCGACCATGAGTATGGAAGAACCCTCGTTTCAGAGTTTCAGCACCTCAGAGTCCGCGACGCTGAGTCCGGAGTCGACTACACTGAGTCCAGCATCTGCCAGGTCACCCTCACCGCCTCCACAGGCACTCAATGCTACGAAGAATCGAGCACGTGATATAACAGAGCCTTTTGAGGAGAGTGAAGAAGACTTTCCCAGCCCCAAACGCTTCCACTCACCGGAAGGTTTTCCCTCGTGGATTATGAAAGATGTTTCCAACGACAGAGTAGATCATGCCAATTGCGAGGTGACGGCAGTTGAGTACGAGACGGCTCCAATCGAAGGGCGGGTGACTGTGATGGATGGCGGGATGCCGTATTTCCCTGTCCAGGACGAGGGACAAGCATCGGGGGAATTCGAGGCAACCGACATTGGGAGGTGGCTGCATCGAGATGAAGACGCGAAAGGGGCTTGGGGAAACGAAGACACGAAGGAACTTTTGACTCCTGAGAATCTTGAAAGCGAACCACCCGAGGCAATTCCTTGCTGGGATCCCTTCGAGCGTGAAATCAGGGAGTTCAGGGAGGTATGCGAACTGTCTACTTGGGAGCAAGATGGGGTTCCAAGCGAAGAAGAATTGAGAGATTTGATGAGTATGGATCCCATCGTTCTAAATTATCCCGATGCAGACCAAGAGGAAGCATGGAATATTCACCTGTTACCAACTGTTGAGGAAATTTGGGAGGCCGAGGACTTAGCAAATGAGGAGATCAGGGAAGAAGGCGAAAGATTAGTCCGCGAGCAAGACACCGTTCCGAGCGAAGAGGAGAGAAGGGCATTGATGGATGAAATGGTTCCAGAATATCCTGATATGGACCAGGAGGAAGCTTTCTATGAATACCACACCGATCCGGGGGACAAATCGTGGATCGAGTATAGATACACGAGAGGGGCGATGAGGAAATACGGGCATGCCGCACGCAGGGCGCTTGTCGAGTTGGATCAAGCTGAGAACGAGGTACTTGAAGAGGAATGGACGGTTGCCTGACTGGTGGACATCTTAAGGCCGTGGTCTTTCGCATACCCAAATATCACTGCTTCGGTATCACTTTTGGTTGCGATCCGGAGTTCCAGCATCACAGCCATTCCATCGAGAGACTTCGAGTTCTTGGCCCATATTCAGGTACATCAAGTTTGAACGCCTTATTCGATTGTACCTTGTGAAGCCCTACGGTAAAAATTCGGGCTATAGCGGACAGATTTCTGGCAAGTTACTGTACGGCTTGCCCTATATTTTCCTCAGGCATGAATACAAGGCTCCGGACCTGCCTTACTCGATTCCACTGCGAAACCCTTGCATCTGACGTCCAATTAGAGAGTATTGTGGCGTTTCGGGACGGGGCGCAGCCGCGGCGCTAAAGTCGGCCCCCATGTGGGATCTTCGAGTCAACCTCAGCCTGCCTTCCGTCCCAACTCACCTGCATCACCAACCAGCTTGTACCACTCACTACCGCAACTCCGTTTACCAGATGTCGCCTCCAACACCTGGATACTGTTTGCTGGAACCTGCCCGCGTCGAGGGCACGATTGCGCATCTTCGTATGTTCTGGAAGAGAAGGCAAAGCGGAGTGGCTGAAGGCTGAAAATGATGTTGGAAGGACGCTTTTTGCACCAGCCGGAAGAGTACCGCAAGCAGGCTATTATTCTGGAGCATGTGAACAAGGAGAACTCACTCATTGAACCCGGAGCAGATGCCGTGGAGAAAGAATTTGTCGATGAGCGCGTCCAGGATCCAGTCATGGCCAACGAGGCGCGCTCTGTCCCTTCGTCTTCAATGATGAGCTCTCCAAAGTCGCCGGCATTCACAGCAGGTCTTTGTAACCAACAATCGCCCATTGAAGCCAATGCTCTGATCCCTCGCATCGGCACGACCGGCAAGCATGCTTCAACTCCTTCAATTCCTGCCAACTCCACCAAGAAACGAGTCCGTGACACCAGCATAATTGGCGAAGGGGAGAAGGAAACGCTGCCGGAACCTAAGCGCATTCGCAAGCCAAGACGATTCCCCAAGGTTGCTCGACCCAAGAAAGAAATAGTTCCCCTCGAGGAGTACGTGCCTCGTAATCAAGAGAGAAAGGAAATAGAGACCCCCGTCGCGAAAGATGAGAAGACATTTTCTCTAAAATTATGTGCTGAATGCGCTGTGCTAGACCTGGAAAGCGGGTTCACGCCTAGGCCTACCGGCAGATATGAGCCGAAGCTTTTGCGATCTTGGACCAGAAAGAGATTGACAGAGAACAAAAACCCTTGCGGGCTTTGCGACCTTTTTCAAGCGTTCGTTTCAGACCCAGAATATGACAAGTTCGACACTTTTTGGATATGCTATGATTCGGCCAGCTCAAGACTACGGCTAGCACCGCCAGGGGAGTCCCGGAATAATTCCGATGCTGTCGTTCTTGGGGTTTATTTACCATATGATGTCGACGAGCCCTCGGAGAACTCTCTATCTAAACTCGGCATCATCGCACCAGTGTACAGCAATTTATCCGAGCCCACAAATTTCGACTTCCGCCCGATAAACCCTACTAGCATCGATTTCGACGTCCCATTGAGTTGGCTTCATGAGTGTCGGCAATACCACAACTGCGGCTCCGACCCCCCAGAACAGACTTTTCCGATCAAACTCATTGATTGTAGTAAAAATCTGATTATCTCTGCTGACACGAGCTACAAATATGCAGCATTGAGCTATGTTTGGGGCGCACAAGACGAAACTATCCCACAAACCGTTGACCAGGATGACACTAGTAACGCTCGGCAGGGCCCTGATGAACTGTTGAACGCACCTCGAACGATTGAGGATGCCATTACAGCGACGCAAAACCTTAATCTACGTTACCTTTGGGTTGATCGCCATTGTATCGACCAGAATAATGCATCGGAAAAGCATACACAGATTGCGGCGATGCATTTGATCTATCGGAGTGCTGAAGTTACGCTAGTTGCCGCGTGCGGGGACGACGACTCATTTGGTCTTCCTGGCGTTGGCCTAACCCCGCGAATATCCCTTCCTGAAGTAACATTTGGAAGTCTACGCCTAGGCTTAGCTCTCCCCAATCCAGCCCAACTTCTCAGCAAGAGTCGATGGTCCAGCCGGGCTTGGACCTACCAAGAAGGTCTCCTCTCTCGTCGGAGACTGATTTTCACCACGCGGGAGGTATATCTTGAATGCCAATGCGCGCGTTATTGCGAGTCTCTAGACTCGAATTTGAGAGGCGTAGACGACAGATTACCGCCAACGGATCTAATGCGAATTCCCACTACGGCCGACCAATGGGATATTTACCAGAGCATTAGCGACTACTCGAAGCGCGAGCTGAGCTATGACTCTGATGCTTTGTACGGAGTATTCGGTGTGCTTGAGATATACCAGTTGTTATCGCAGGGTACGCTGCATCAAATCTGCGGTATACCCGTCATCCCTCTCTCAGCCGAAGACCACTGGGCTCGTCTCGAACCGACCTCGCCTACGATGGGAAGTTTGAAAAGATCATATAGTGAATTCTCGCGAGAAGAGGCCGAAGGCTCTCTGCTGGCCGAACGATTCATTGAAGGTTTACTCTGGGACCTTGAAACCTCAGGCCGGCGGCGAAGTCAGTTCCCGAGCTGGTGCTGGACGGGTTGGGCTGGCGAGGTGGCTTTTCACCAGATCCCTACCGATAGACCTATCGCGATTAATGGCGAGATCTCCGTGGAGCTCCGAAATAACAAACGCAGGCGGTTGAACGATCCCCAGTGGACGCGATCCTTGGACAGAAGCGGAGATCCCGACGAGACACCACGGTATCTTCGATTTACTACGTATTGCCAGCCGATTCGCATACAGAGCCGACCGGGCTGCATTCCAGACGAAGGCGATAGCCCATACTATGCACGGCTGAGAATAAAGTCTCCGACCCGCAATCTGTATTCGTATTTCAAAGTTAGTCTCTTCCAAAACCACCACGTATCCACGCCACCCGAAAACGCTGTCGCTATTCTGTGGCCGCCAGGTAGCGTTATCGTAGATGCTGAAAGGAGTGTCTGGGACGTGTCGCGTCATCTTCCACTTGTACAGCTGGAAAACGGCTTTGCGGAACGAATTGGCAGTCTTCATTTACACAATATGTACTTGTGCGGCGAGGAGGTGCACGGCGAGTCGCCGAGGTATCTGTCCGCTGATGCTGAGCCGCACTCTGCTGTGAGGCAGCGCCTACTAGGGAGAGAGGGGTTTGAGCAGTTTGGTTTCTGGGACTGGGAGGAGACCATAGAGTGGGAGAGCAAGCCTACTCTTGAGAAACTTCAATTTGGGTAAATCAGCTGTTTCTAAGAACTCGTGGTCCTGTAGAATATGCGGGAAAAAACAGTCATGTGCTTCCAAGGTTGTAGACACTTGACTATCTAAAGGGTCTTTAAAGGACTACTCCGTTTCAAGTCTGCTCGCACAATCTCACTAGCAGTCACAAAATTGTGTGAGGCGGCAGGTTCTTTAATCAAAAAGTGGCAGTGTACGAATGTGTGATCGTAGTACACTTCTAGTATATTAGCTACAACTACTCTAAGGCTGCGTACATGTACACTTGCCCAGCACTACTTGAGGTTTCCCGGCACATTATCAAAAGTTGCCAGACGGCAATTGTGACCAGTCCGATAAATCACTAGGTGATCTTGGACGGCGTTGGACGGCGTCGGACGGTTTTGGGCTTCCCCTTTTTGTTCAACGGATCCCGCCACGTGACCAAGATGGTTTGCTAAGGCACTAAGCCGGCTGCGATGCCTGTGCTTCTCACTTGCAGTGAACCTCAGCCTGACTCCTCATCCGGCCCAGCTTCTCTACCGTCGCATCTTATTTGCATTCAAAGCTTTCTACTCTTGACGTCAACTGTGTTTTAGGTCAACTGCTAGACCTTCAAGCCCTAGTACTAGTCTTTTCAGCTTGTCAGAACATCTTCATCACCATCGATCGCCTCAAGGAGCGATCAGGTTTCCGTTTCGTCTCTCTGAACGGAGTCTGGGGGAAGCGTCGACGTCGAGCTTAGAGAAACAACAGCTGGAAATGTCTTCAACTCAGACTGTGAAACAACTGCTACAGTCTCAACAACAACTATGTCGGCGATGCTCCATACTCGATCTAGAGTCTCTTCAACCCACCTCGTCCGGAAAGACCACCTTTGACACGCAGCAGTGTCTGTCTTTTCAACATAAGAAGGAGAGACGTCGATTCATTACCTTGCGCACTTTGCGATCTCCTACGAGCTCTCATACCACCAGGTCTCTCGGGAAACAATGTCGAAGTCAGATGTTTTCACTTATCTGAGTTCATGTCAGAAGGAAATTGGATCTTCCCGACTCACACCAAGCATTACGACTACAGATTTCTCGGTGCCACCCCTCTATTTAGTATAAAAACTATTGGGCCGCTCGACCATTTTCGAAAGGTCTCTCCCACCAAATTTGGAATTGTAGCGCCGTCCAATCCTGGTTTTGGAGTTTTGTCAAGTTTTCCCATACGCGCCATAGACCCAATCATACGTGACTGGACTCTTCAGACGAATTGGTTTCAACGCTGTGGAGCTGATTATTTCGAATGCCGCGCAGTTCCGCGGGCGGCTCATTCCCAGATCAAACTTATTGACTGCGCGAATAGAAGTATCGTGGTTGCCGATACTAGCTTCAGATATCTAGCTTCGAGTTATGTTTGGGACCATAGCCAGGATACTGGTCACGTCAAATGCAAGTAGCCACATTGCCCAGTCAGATGAAGATGGGGCTTTACCCAAACAGGTGCCTCGAACCATATCGGACGCAATTAAGGATACTGTATGCCTCGGCTATCACTACTTATGGTGCGATCGATTTCGCATTGACCAGCGCCACAGCACGGAAAAACACCAGCAAATCGGCTCTATGGATATCATCAACAGGAACGCACAAGTTACCATCATCGCTGCGAGTGGTGAAGATGATACCTTCGGCATACCTGGCGTAGAGCACACCTCCGGCCTACCATACCCCGGCATCATCACTACTAATGTAAAACTATCGCACGCATTTCCTGATCCTACCTTTCTACTCTCAAAGTCGGTGTTTATTTTAAGTGTCAAACAACAAGGTATTGTGATACGATAGATTGGAAAGCGCCAGCTTTCTCAACTCTAAGCAAGAGGCGTGGGACCCTCGAACCGGGAGATTTGATGCGGGTACCAGATTTGATGCGGGTACCAGATTTGATGCGGATCCCTACGCGCATATTGGACGACCTGAGTGTTTATGGTCGCATCACGGAATACTCAAGGAGGGAGATGACCTATGACTCCGACGTGTTGAACGGACTTTTAGGTGTTCTGAAGGTGTATCGGCCTTTGTCGCCCCCACTGCATCACATTTGGGGAGTTCCACTTCTTTATGAGGTTGATGATGAGTCCGAGCCCGAGTCGATGGTGCGTGGGCTGACATGGAGCCTCAAAGTCCCCGGTCGAAGGCGCCCGAACTTTCCGAGCTGGTCCTAGACCGGGTGGAAAGGCGAAGTCTTTCACGATCATCAGCTCACAGCCCCTTTTGACAAGTTGGAAATCCGGGCCGAGACTCAGCGCGGTCTAATATCAGTGCACGATAAAGAATGGCTTCAATCGGTCGGACTAAGCAAAAATCCAGAGGACACGCCACGCTATCTGCATATCTCATCTTGGTGCCTTCATATTATCATCGTTAATCGCCCCGCTTTCATCCTCCCGCACATTCATGTTAGCAACACCCTCTACGCCGAATTCGAGCTCGAGTCTACTGGCTCCGACATTTGGGCATATTTCGAGGTTTAATTCTTCCAGCACAACTTCGACCATGTTAAAAACATGCAAGAAAATATCTGCATCATATTTAACTCCCCAAATTCTCAACTCGATTACGAATACGTTCACGGCTTTTCGCCTGGTCAGTTCCCCTTAAGTAACTTGAATCGATTTCGTCCAGCAACGCTCCCTATCGTCAAACTAAATGGCGAAACAGCTGAGAGGGTTGGGGCTAGTCACCTTGACACTACATTTGTACGATCATAAGATGTCACCTTCTGTCGTCGGGGGCGAAGCCACCACTCAGAAAATATTCACATGAGACGATGTCCCTTCGCCAGACCCTTCTACCCAGCCCTTGGAAATGGCCTTGATTAAGCTTCCGAATCTCAACAGAGCTTATCTATGAGGAAGCTGCACCAGTACGTCAAAGGAGGCATTTCATTGGGACTGAGATTGCAGTCCGAGTACAGAACCATACGCTGTGGATGATGCAGCGACGTCCACCATGCGCTAAATGCAGCTACAAGACCTCTTCATAGGAATCTGTGCACTCGTTTACCGCTGCGTGGGGAGCTTCATAGTATTTTCAGCATCTGGAATGAAGGAGAAGCTCGCCATTTAGGAAACTCGCGAAGCTACCCCACGCAACGTCAACAGGGCGTATACAGATTGAAAGTACATCCCTGCTCCTAGTTTCTATCAGTACGTTCGAATTCCACTGACAGTGGCAGGAAAGTGTACGGATATCTATGGCAAGGCACTGTAGTCTCAGATTCTAGTGACAAAGCACAAGGAGCTGATTGTATATTCAACCGCAACACCAAGAATGAAGTGAAGACACTAGCAATTATTTCATTCAAGTCGCCCTCGGCTTAATCTCCAACAATACTTCATGTATTCGTTCCAAAGCACTGTGCGGGACTTCGGGGATCCGCCGCGGGGTGGAATATCTTGGCATGAACTCCACTTCCACCCCACGGCCAAAGTTGCCCCGCAAAACTCTACTCAACAGCTTCCTCACGAGTCCCTCCATTCCCCAAATCAACCAACATTGCGACTATGAACATCTGCGAAGCATGCAAAGAACCTCTCGTTGTCGAGGTTGATCTCTCCGATGACGATGACGATATTGAGATGGGCGGGTCGAGTTCTGCTGCCGCCGCAGCTGGGAATGGAGGCGTGAAGACGGTGCCGGATGATATTCATCTCAATTGCGGATGCCATTTCCATTGGTGGGTACATCTTTACCACAAGAAATCTCTCTTCTATCTTGATGTACTGGTAGAGGTTCTCAATTTCTTTTCACTTGGCTCCATCTATCCATCTCAAGTTCTTCGTGCAGCATTAGAACTTACTACGACCATTAGACTGACCCTAATCAACAACAGGACATGCCTTCTCGACTCTTACACTCACACCTCCTGTCCATCCTGCAACCGCGACATAACATCCATAACCTCCGCGAGCCCGCCCCAAATACAAGTCGTCTGCACCCTCACCAACGAAGGCGGCGTACAGCCGAACCTCGATATACTTCCCCTCCTCACGGAAGAGAGCTACCTGAAAGCATACCCGGAAGATCGGAAAGCGCGCGCGTTCCTCGAGTTCTGCCGTGAGGGCGACGTCGCAGCTGTCGTGGAACTGCTACAAGCCGGCGACGACGACGATGACGAGGACTCGGACGAAGATGACGATGCGATGGACGAAACCACAGCGCCTGGCGAGAAGAAGGAAAGACGGCAGATTGATCTGCTGAGATACCAAGATCCCATTGAAGATATGCAGTCGGCACTGCACGCTGCGGTGGCTGGAGGGAGTAGGGAGGTCGCGTGGGTGTTGCTGTTGCTTGCGTCGCAGCTGCCGTTATCGGAGTTCCCGGCATTGGTGTTTCAGGAGGCGTCGAAGTTGGGTGTTATGCGGAATGATGAGGAGGTGGCAGGGAAGACGGATATTCGCACACTGAGGGATTGTGATGGGAGGAGTGCGGAGGATTTGGCGAGGGAGATGGTGATTTGGAATGGATGGGTTGGGAATGGGAGGTTGGTTATATGAAGATGGAGTATGGGGATTAGCTAAAGTTTCCAGACCGTTCCAAGTTGCGGTTGCAGTTGCGGCAAAGAACGGCCACGAGGGTTACTTGAACTTCAAGACTATGAATAGTTCAACAGAGCAGCTTGTAAGATTAACTGTAATTTATAATATTACAGGGCAACCCGCCTATATGTTACATGAAAGGTTGGTCAATGTGGTTTGAGACGGCACAGGTTTTCAAGTGTGAGCTTCTTTTATGACTGTCTCCTTAAACCTCTTAATCTCACTCCTTTTCTCTCTGATCTCTTTCAAAAATGGGGCCCTCCTGTGGTGCATCGTTCACCGACTGCAACTTGCCAGCGACAGGTCAAAAGTCTGTGTACACTCTCTTACCACTGCCTGAGGTGGCCCGATCAGCTTCCAAAACTCCGACGCGATGAAAAGCCTGACACGATAACTATTATGCTTCCTGCCGTGCCATTTCTGGTAGCAGGACTGCTCCTGACAATGGAATCTGTCACTTCACAGCTTAGGGATGTAAAAAGTAGGATGCACGTGAATTATTCACTAATCAAAATGTCCTATCTCTGTTCGTCGCACACTGCGAACATCAGGAGACTGATAGAGTAGCAGTAAACCTACCACACAAACTCCTGCTCAAGCCGCCGAAGTGATCCCAAATCTCGCAGGAAAGTCGTGCACGAGCTCGATTCTAGGAGATCCGCGGCCAGCCCATCTACCCAGCCCTCCACCGCTAACTTCGGCGCATAAGAATGAGTTCCAGAGCAGCTATACAGCCCACTCGCATACCTCCCCAGATGATCGCCGGCATCCGTTGTGCGCTTTACACTCCAATAGTGCCCATCCGCAACCTTCCCCGGGCCTAGATTCGTTGCAGTAAAGTACCTAGGGCGCCTTTCATAGTTTGCTCGATACGGTACGCAGGCGCTCATAGATATCCCCGCGATCTCTAACTCTTGCATAACCTGTCGTAGTCGCGACGCCGGCACGTGGATCTGCTCTAGCGTCTACGTCACAACTAATACGTTTTTCAGCATCGGGTAGGTCTTGAGAACTTGGACGAGAGAGGCTTGGATCGGGCAGTAGCGGCAGCCGGAAGCGTCGAGAACAATTGCCGTTTTCAGGGATGCGGAAAACCCCTCTGCCCGGAGAAGAGACTCGCTGAGAGGGTTGAACGCATCGAGGTGGAGATCTCGGTTTGTGCCGAAGCCTTCGAGTACTTTAGGGGCGAGGCAATAATTTCCAGTAGCTGTTTCTCTGATATTTTACGCCAATTGATTCCATTCTTTAGCACTGCGACCCGGAGATCCTCAGCAGTACAGGGAGCTGCAGCATTCCGCAACGCCGAGAAGAGCGCCATACACCAATTACCCTTCGAAATCATCTGCATGATAGCCCAAAATCTGTCGCCAGTCTCTATCTTTATAGTACGACAAACATGTAAACGGCTGCGGTATACTATTCCTCTACCTATGGGCATCTTTCCATTGAATGAATTCAACTCAGAGTCATCGCTATTGAAGAGAAAGTACGTCCTGCCATCAGTAGGCCCAGCACCTCCCAGCCCATCAAAGCCAGCAAAGTCGAAACCGATAAGCATTAAAAGTCCAGAGTACCATTTTCGCATCTGGTGCAGCGCTTGCAGCGCTCGTTAGTTCGCCTACGTGTTCTCCGCCTGTGAAAGAGGAGCTCCCTCGCTTAATCGATTCTGTCTCGGAAAAGAAAATAAACTTCAACTTTATGAGCACTACAGTTTCACAAATGCTGAGCTTCACTCAATGCTTACCTATTGTGGCGAGCAATTCGAGTGCAAACACGAGAGTCATCGGATTGAGCACTGGGGGAGGCAGGCCTACCCACATATCCTCAGGGGCCACCTCGTAGTGAAAAACAGACCCGTAGACCTTTGGTCGCATCGCTGGTAGCTACTGATCATACAAATACCCATCGGCACCACAGTCGAAGCATCTGTGTTGAGTCTCAAGAGAGCGCTAATGGCTTTGAATAAGCCGCTATGTGCGCAGCTGCACACCGGCGACAAAGTAGTCGTGCGAGCCGCGAGGATGATGTTTGAGGATGACAGAAATCGCATGCATTGGATAGAACCGGGGAGCGATAAGGTGCCTCGCAATGTACCCAAAGATCAGTCGAGTTGGGCGCCAGAACATGGAGTTCTCTGCTGTCCAGCCGTGGGTTGCGAGTGTTGCGTCTTGATTCAGAGAGTTTGGTTGACGGCGAATGCTTACGAGGAAATAATCTTCAACGTGGGCTTTGTCTTGGAGACTCCATCCGTGACGGACAAGCAATGGCTGGGGTCGGTGTGCTCTGCATCAGATTGGCCTGGCATGAAGTAGGATGGACACGAGTAATCCAAGGTAACAGGACCAGTTTGCTTGCCACTGGCGTGCAAAGACCGCAAGCGGGTTTCAATTCACTCCGTTGTGCTGCTGTTTCCTCAGCGGTTGGCACCGCTGACTCTCGGCATGCACTTTTCGGCGTACACTTTTTCGGCTCTGTCTGCGTAGAAGTCAGACTTTAGGTGTAGATCTCTATACATACATACATGAATGCCAAGCGCGAAATCCAAACTTATAGAAAGTCAGGCTTCGTCGAACGTAAAGTGGCAGTCTATTATGACTCCGTTAGAAGTGTCTCGAAGAGCTGTTAGGATTACTAGAGCTGTCGTTTTGCAATCAACATGACCGTAACGGGAGGCCTCAAGCGCCGTTAAGCTAGTGTACATACCTTTGTAGATCCCGAGTAGGTGTGTGCAAGGAAGTGCAGATATCCTTCCCTGGTGCCTTTCTTGGCTATTCTACATCTGAGAACATTTTCCAACCAACAAGATACAGCTGTCCCACTCGGTTGCTTTGCATGATCGTATGTAAAGTGCAATGGCGACGGTGATGGATGAAGGACGGGAGAGACGTGTTGGAGGTTGGAGTGGGTGCCAAAAGTCACGTGATTACGTCCGGGCGCGATTTCTCCAAACGCTTGCAACGCGTCACCTTGACTCCATCACGATTCATTCCAACTCACTCACATCAACAAATCTCCTCAACCGAAATCTGCAAACATGACCGGCACGAAGAAAGGCATGGCCGGTGCCAAGAAACGCGTCGCGGAGAACGACTCGGACAGCGAGATCATCACCAAGAAGGCCAAAGCTACAGCCTCAGGCCCGCCAAAGCAGAAGAAAGACTCTGATGGAAAGGCATGCTGGGAAGTATGTATATGGTATAGCCTGAACTCAAATAGGAGCACTAATCGTTCTGCGTAGTTGAGTCAAAAGAACCGCATCTCGATCGCCGAGTTCAAAGGAAAGACATTTGTCAACATCCGGGAGTATTACGAGAAGGATGGCAAAACGCTGCCTGGGAAGAAGGTAATTGGAAGACGATAATATTTGTGAAGGCACGGAATGGCTGATTCAAACTTTGCAGGGTATTATGCTTCCACCGGAACAGTTCGCGACCCTCCTCGCGGCCCTCCCCCAGATCGAGAACGTCCTCAGCGAAAGCGGGATAGATATTCCAAGACCTCAGTACGACGGCGCGCCCGCGGAGATTGCTGCAGAAAACGATAGCGCGGATGAAGATGAGGATGAAGAGGAAGTTCCGAAGCCTAAGAGGAACAAACGCAAAAGCCCAAGCGTTGATGAGGATGAGGATGAAGATTGAGAATTCAGGCGTGGGACTATGCCATTGTTTCTGCGGGGAATTTGAGTACACAAAGAGCTTATGCTGAGACGACCGTCCTGTCGTGTTGATGAAAAGCGTCACTGTTAGAGGAAATATCGTGCGGGAGGCAAGGCGTTAGTTAGGATGGACCCAGTATACCCTTTCGATTGGATGGTTTTCTTTCAAACCGGGCTTGTCTTGATTTATTCATCTACATGGATGCGCTGGCCTACTTGCGGAACTTATAGGACGAAAGTAGTACCTTGGACTTACGGTCAATACTCAGGCAAAGCCGACTTGTAAGTTTCTTTCCTACCCATTGAGAGACTCCCTGCTTTAATTTCGTCTCATCTTTAAGTTAACGCAGCGAGATTCTTGTCGCTCTTCCTTCCAGCCTCCTAAGCACTACCAAGCAACCGCCTCAAATGTTCCTCCAGCACCTCCCTCCCCTGATCCCACCCCTTCTCCGCCTTCTCTCCAAAATCAGCCCCATACCTATTCCCCTCATCAAAAGTCGACGCCGTCCCCAGCATAACATACGCCCGCGATTTCAGCCGATTCTGAACCCCGTTTCTACTATCAGCCTCCCAAAGCTTCTTTCCCTCCTCCACGAACCCCTCCACGGGTACATCTACCACCTCCCACGGCGTACCCGGCGCCACCCTTTTCACAATCTCAATCAACTCATTAGTTGAAATAGTACTACTCGCGAAATACGCCGGCCGATTCATATAGAATGCGGGATCCCGCAGCACCGCCACCGCGGCTCTGCCACATAGCTCCACTGCACTCATGCTGTACCGCTGGTCCCCAGACCCAAATCGAGTGATGGTTCTCTCCACCGGATCTATCCAGAATAGCCCCTTGGAGATGCCCCAGTCATACCACGGGCCCACGATCACAGCCGTCCACGTCAGTGTCGCTTTCCCGGTCTCAGCCTCCGCCAGCTTCAGCTCGTCTTCCAGCGCACGCTGCGCATTGATCTTCGGCTCGAAGATATTCAGCTCGCTCGCATGGACGTTGAATGTGTCGGTGCTGAAGTCGGGCGTTAGGATGTGTGAGACCCCGGCTGCGAGTGCGGCACGCACGATGGTGCGCTGGTGGGTGGCCGCAGCAGGGTTGAAGGCTTCAATAATGGCGTGTTGGTTGATGAGGGCGGTGGTGAGGGCAGGGAGGTCGTCGTAGGCGGCGATCTCTGTCTTTGCGGCTGGGGTGGCGGTTCTGGGGTTGGGCCCCGGCCGGGCGATTATGGTGACGTTGAAGCCGGCTGCAAGGATAGCGGGGATGATGGCTTGGCCAACGTTGCCGGAGGCCTGTGGAGGAGGTTAGGGGATTTAATTGGATTCGTGGAGAGGCATCGGGATGCTTACGCCCAATATTGCGACATTTGTGATGGGAGCCATGGTCGAAACTTGTGAAGAGACGAGGGAAGATTGTACTCGTGAGTCTACAAGTATTCGATCTAGCGCAGAATATTCATTCCTTAAATACGTCTGATGGTTGCTGGGAAGGGTAACAAAGGACAAGTAACTCCGTTTCTCGGCCGATTTGAGAAAGTCAATCGATCCTAATCCGTCTCGAAGGGGGTTGGCTTTGCTGCAACGGCCGATGCATCGACGGCGATATCCAAATACGGTCTTACGTGGGTCCCTAGGCTTCATGCATCGGCCGCTCCCTCGCTCCTCGAAATGATGCTATTGGCCAGCGGGAACGTCAGCACTCGAGTCTTGCGATGACAAATCCCGACCAACGCCTCTTATACCCTACCTCAAGCTGCACCATTGGAACACCCCCTCTTGCACCTGCATCGGCCGCTGCAGCACATGATATCTCCTTTTTTTTTCTGATCCTCGATGTCGACTCAGATTCCGGTAATCCTCAAATCTCAGCACGTCTGCGCTTATTGCCACGCCCGAAAACAACGATGCGACAAGGCTCTCCCTAGCTGCTCGCGATGTGCGAGCAAGATGCTGAGCTGCCACTATGGCTCCGTAGCTGGAAAATCTCTAGCTAAGGAGCCGGGGACAGCTAGCGTCTCCCGGCTGATCGAGCGCCGTGGCGACTGTTGCTCGCCGGATCTCTCCCAGATAGGAACCAAGGAGCTGCTACTCGCAGCTTGCGGCATCGATGATGACGGCGTTCCATCAATGACGGGGCTGATCTACGATTTCCTTGACGCCAGTAGAATATCGCTCTTGGATCTTGCGGACGAGTACTTCGCTACCGTGCATCGATGGCTTCCTATCATCAACGGCTCGAGTTTCTACCGTCGAATTCATTCCTCGCGATGGCCTAACGATGACCAGTTCGCCCTTTTAGTCTATTCCATCTTTCTAGTTACACGATTGCCTTGCGCCTCCGGTCGTCATTCGATGCGGACTCAGCTATATCGAATTTTGAGCCGCGTATTTGTAATGCAAGCTTCTGAAAACGCGACGCTGGAGTTATTGCAAACTGGACTCCTCATTGCGGTGTATTCTTGCGGTCATGGCATGGCGCGGGAAGCGTTCATGATACTCTCTACTTGTGCAGCCGTTGTGAGATTGCTGGAAGCGGAGAAGAGCCTGGACAACTGTGGAAACTATCAAGATGCTGAGCTCGAGGCCTGCTGGGGAGCTCTAGCCTTACTGGACAGCATTAACGCAGTCTGCTGCATCCAAAGCATCACGCCTTTAGCACTACCGCCTGAACAGCCTTCCACTTCAGTCCCTCCAAACTGCGACGTCGATGGCCCTTTCGAAAGCTTCCGCGCAATCTCAAGCATTGCGCAACGTATTAGACCCGCTCTATACTACCTTCATGACGCGAAGAATGCCAAGGAAGCGCACGATACATACAATACTGTCTGCGTAGACCTTCAATTTCTCGTCTGCGATCTGCTTAATGCCTCTAATTCGAAAGCCAGGATTTACTGCGAGAGTAATGCGTTCGCGGTTAGTACGCGGTTTGTCGTGCAAAGCTCTCATGCTTCTGTTCGCGCTCTAGATTTCATCTCTCATGACTTGCCAGTTATAAAATCGGCATTGGAATTACGTTCGACGCTACGCATGGTTATTGACATGGCGCGCGCAGCGACTGCTACATTGCGGGAGCAAGATGGACAGCCGGCTCGGGTTTCGTTCGTGGGGCTTTGCGCTGTATTTCGGGCTGCGGTACTTGCAGTGCGACTAGACGGTGGTGCGATGGGCGAAGAAGACCTGGACGCATTGAAAGAGGGGTTAAGGATGTTTGGGATAAGGTGGGGTATTGCTGGTAGGTCACTCGTGCGGATAAATGTCTTCCAGGTGGGCATCGAAGCGACTAACGTGCGATAGGTGTCTACGAGCGGCATTTAGACGAGTAGCACGTACCTTTAACCGCTGTAACTAAGCAAGATTTCCAGATCTATATAGTATATTAAGGGTTTTTACTTAGGGGAGGGATATTGGCACACCCCCTAATCACTCCGCGCACACCCCCTTTTTCACTCCACGCACACCCCCCCTCTCGTTTGATCTTCTGATTGGCTGGAGCGGCTCGGAGCTTCGTCCGGAGCTCTATTCTCACGTGCATTTGCACGTGTAGCCTTTCCTATTCACTTAGCCGTACGTGAGCTTATACGTGAGGCTATACAAATCGGCATAGCTATACAGCCTCTCTATTTTACAGTGCATTCTTTCCGATTCGTGTGGCCTTACATATGAGCTCACGTACGGCTCTATATACGGCTGCACGAATTGGAAAGAATGCACCGTAGAACGGAGAGGCTGTATAGCTATGCCGATTCGTATAGCCTTATGTATAGCCTTACGTACGAGCTCACGTACGGCCTCGCGTATAGCATCACGTGCAGAGAAACGTAAAGGTGAATGCCCAGAGGAAGCTCCGCATTGCTCCGAGCCAATTAGAAGGTGGTGAAGCGCCAAGGGGGGGGGGGGGGTGCGTGGAGTGAAAAAGGGGGTGTGCGCGGAGTGATTAGGGGGTGTGCCAATATCCCTCCCCTAAGTAAATTATATAGCTTTTTATAGCTTTATATTAACTTTTATTAGATAGTTATTACTAAAATCGCGATATTTCCCTAGATAAGACCTGTGCGCAGTTACGTGTCGGCCGGCAACTACTAATCTACAGCACAGGACATAATATAATTTCGAATAATGACTGCTTAGGATTAAAGGGCATTATCAATGTAATCCAAGATTATAAAGTCCAGATACTATATCGTTTCCTACTAACGGAGTACGCGGTACGGTAGGTATTCAGCTTGACCCTCTAAGCATCTTGAGTTAAAGCTCCCTACACTATACAGACCTTGTGAGCACATATGCACCGGACCAGAAGGAGCAATTCAATTTTAATGTGTTGCATCTATTTGGATCACGTGAGCCTGCCACTTTGAAGTCTCGTGGTCTGAATAGATAGGGATTTAAAAGTCATCATGATAGGGTTTGAAATACGATATTTTCAAAGGAGAAGTGCGACAACGGGATCGAGAGATTTACTTTCCATTCTTTTGTTTCATATAGCCAATTGTTATAGCCTTTTGCGTATCTACATTGATCCCGGCATGTATGAATAAGTCTCTCGGTTGTGCCATCAGAGCTTGGCCTCTAGCCTCGTTTGATACGCTCCCAACGCCGTCCGAACAACCGCTTGCTTTTCAGTGCTATAATCGTGGACAAGTTCCTCCATTGCCTTCTTGATTTTGACAAGATCCCCATCCGAGTATCCTGCGGCCCCGTGGGGAAGATTTGGATCTTGGTTGACGGAGTGGACTTTTTTCGTCCACTCGCCGTCCAAGGCTGGATTGATCCTGTCTTCCTGCACATCTGTATCTTCGAGAGTCTTGATAAAGTCAACGATCTTGGCGAACCTCAGGTTGTTCGCCACCTTGACCTGATTAAGCCTCCATGCGTCCTTTTTGTCTGGCTTCACACTGGGCGGTGGGTTTTCTGGCGAAGGCTCTAGGACGAAGTCGTCCCTGCCCATCTCCTTCGGAAATGCAAAGAACATAGCAGCAAGGCGCGCTTTGGCTCGCTGCAATTGCTCTGTGCTAGTCTTCCATCCGTTGTACAAGGGCTGTGTGTCTGGAATAAATGCTTTTTGCGCTCGAACCACCGCGGGCGCCGGCTGCTCCGTGATGACGTTTCGGTAGAAAGGCAATTGGCCGTTGGTCCATTTCGCCATCCGTTTAATGGCCGCACTGCCATTGTGCTCAAGATAGATGGTCGGGATGCCGAGCAAAGCAGCGCCGTCCATGCCTCCAGTCTTTTGTCCAATTTGATACACCCGGCCCGGATACTTCTCCATCAATGCAAGGAAGAAAGATTGCTGCGTCGCCCTGTCACTTTTGATCGGAGTATCTGCTTCCTTGTAGAATTCTCCCACGTCAAAATGACCTTTGAACGGCTGGCTGCCTCTTGGGCCATGGCCGATCGTGACAACGTTCAAGCCAAGTGAAATTAGAACGTCGTTGATTTGTCGCTGACCTTGAACGCAGCTATCACCTTCCGGGTTGTGAGCAATTGCGGTGTTAGTACCTGTGTAGCGAGCCCATAGAAGGACGACGGGCGTGAACGGTTGCTTGTTGGGGTCTGCATCCGGAAGGAATTGTTGGCCAAACTTTGGTTCTTGTAAGGTGCCCTTAATGATATCTGCCGAGGCCAAGTCTCTAGCAGTAAGCTTCTTGGCAAGTAGGGTATACAAAGCTTTTTGGTTCTCTGAAGTTTGAGGATTCTTGAACTTCTCCGCGATGGCCGAGGTTGCCTGGCCGAGATTGCCCATGTATTGATATACACCACCAATCTTGTTCTTCAGGTAGTTTGCCTATTGCACGTCAGCATGTTGTCTCAGAAGAAGGAAAAGACGACCACAGACTTTGAATTCGTCAAAGGGTTTGATCTGCTTAAGTACAGCCGGTGTTGTTCCAACCTTTGAAGTCTCGGACGACAGGTCACCGGCAGCCAGGATTTTGGGGAAATAATCTTGAACTGTCGTGTCCGATGCTTTGATCCATGACAAGGTCGTATAGAGGGCTTCAGCCGCTGCTTCGTTTGAGGCGTACACGACCTTCACGCGTTTGTTGGTGGCGGGACTGTTAGGACTGATAGCTGCACCTGGATATGTTGGGTCTGTAGCTTGGCGATAAAAGTTCAAGAGCCCCTCGGTGGTTCCTATAGCGCCAACATGGACGACTATCACGTCGACAAAGTCATATAACGCCAAAGCAGCAGCTATATGAAGAGTATCACCTGTTTGCGATGACCTGTGTGCAATCAGATGCGGGAGAGGGGGTGCTGGGGGTCCTTTGAAAGGAGGAACTGATGAAGAATCTGCTGGCTCGCCGCTCATCTTGTCGATATTCGTGAAGAAGAAACTCTGTTGGCGGAGAAGAAAAGATGGCAGGAGAGAGCGGCTCTTTATGCAACCTACAGTCTCCGCTGCCTACCTTCAGCTTGCTCGTTGCTGTATTGAGCACACACTGCAGGACGCTCTCAGCTGAGAATAACAGGCTCTCATTGCGAGAGTCGGATGATATGCCCCGACTTGAGATGGCGTTTCAGCCGCGGCTGAGCTTGCCTATCCTTCGGACGGGGAGTCTGGAATCATCTTCAAAGCCTGGCTGCGATTGCCCGAAGAATGCGAATGATCGCGGCTAAGGTCTGCATTCGCAGTCAAAGGGTGATTTATCCGTCTGCTTTCTTGTAGAGGCTTTCCGAGATTCGAGAGCGTCAAAATATAACCCGTTCTTCATCCTCCAAGCATACATACCTTTGCCTGGGTAAAAGCTCGATTAGTTTTATGCATTGAGTCGGTAGGATGACTCATTATTCAGCTAGCCACCGACACTTATTAAGGTTTTACCAGGGTAGACATTAGCTCGATTGACAATGACAATGCTGCAGCTCCTTATTAGTCGATGCGGCTGGCGGGTCAGATCGGTCCAAACTACGGTGGTCTATTAGCATAAAGAGTGCAACAATTCGAAAAACGAAAATTGAAAATCGAAACCTTAAAATCGTGCCGAGAACCCTGCACCACCACCCTATATAATGGGCGCTGCTAAATGTACACCCTATATTTACTCGGTGTACACCCCTTTTCTACTCCGTATACACCCTTCTTACGTCTGATCTTCTGATTGGTCCGGAGGGCTCGGAGGAAGCTCCGGCGCTTAATTCTCACGCGCATCTATATGAAATGGGAAGGCTGTACAGCCTTACTATTTTATTGTGCATTCTTACCGTTTCCGTGAGGCTATATATATAGGCCAGCTACACGTAAGGCCTCACGTGAGGCCGTACGTGAGGCCGTACGTGAGGCTACTTATGGCAAGGCTGTGCAGCATACCCGTTTTACTATGCATACTTCCCGTTTCCTACAGTGTATATAGGCCGTTGTATTGCTACCTACGTGCCTACGTGCCTATGAGCATGCCAAAACAGTCAAATCCTCACCTTATTACGGCCTCTCTGCATCAAACCTGGCCCCCCTATATCGCCGCCGCGCCTTCCTGGCTATCCTAATCCATCAACCCCTCCATATACTGCTCGTACAATGCCATCTAACATTGGAGCTCCTTATAAGGAAGCAGCGCTGGCGCTGCCTGAGGCTGAGGAGCTAGCTAAGGCTGAGGAGCTGGCTGAGGCTCAGGATGAGCGCTATTATGACGCTGCGCAGCCCCTTTCCGTGGTGCTGCCTTCTTCCTAGGTGCCTTATCCTTTGCACCAGGCGGCCGGCCACGCTTTTTAGGTGCAGCAGTAGATGCAGTAGTAGGTGCGGGCGTAGGTGCGGCAGTAGGGGGGGGCCTAGGTATTACTACATGCTTAAACTCGGGCGGATTAGTAAGCAAATCGTTGAATTCCGTAATAGCTGGTGTAGCGGCCGACTAAGGAGCACTCTAAGCGACAGGAGCTGGACGGGGGGCTACGAAAATAGGCGGTCCTGGCGGTGGAACTGTCGGCGTGCGTCCTGTAGGTATACCTGTAGGTCTAGCTGCCGCACCTGTGCCTGTAGCAATCTTAAATTTTAATAGCTCTCGCTGCGTATTATTATATGTATAATGGCCTCTCCTCGCAATAGTAGGCCGGCCGCGCCGGCGCTTAACAACAGCAGGATCCTCTACATCCTTAAAAGGCCTAAAAGGAATAGCTAGCTAATATCCTCCTGGCCAAATAAACCACTAATAGTAATCTATTTCTTCCGGTTATATATAGAGCACCGGATCTAGCCGATTTATAAGCGCTCGGTGTAAAGGATTATGCAGTTTGTGCGCACACGGAATACTATAGATAGACTTAAACGTTTAAGTATAATTAAGTGGGTTATATTTATTCGATTTGGCCTTTTAGAGCTGCTTCTTAAGGAGAATAAGCGCCTGCAGCGTTACCTTTTAATATAGGTTACGGAATTCGGGTTCTTTAATATTATGCGGAGTATAGGCGTAATATCTAGCTATTTTATCTTTAAACTTAGACCTAGAGTTAAGGATAAGGTTCTGTATATTAAGGAGAACATTAAATAGATGGCTAGTTAACACCTAAAGGAAGCCCTTAAGTAGGCCGTGCAAGCCCTTGTTTTGCGATATAACTCTGTAAGAAATCGAATTAGCATTATACATCTCTGCCACTTCCTTATTTCTTAGTTATTCTTTAAGCTATGCTCTTGTCCTCTTTAGCGCTGCCTATTTAGCACATACATAGACCCCGTGCAAAGTTTGGGTATTAAATTTAGATATTTTGGTGTTAAGAAAAATCACTTATATAGTACTAAAGTGCCGCACCTTACGGGTGTAGCAGGTGGCCTAATTCCACCTGTATAGCCACCACTTATTCTCTATATATATTACCAGGTCAGGGCGCTCCTTATAGTTGTTAAGTAGCTTCTTCTAAGCCTTATTAAATTAAGCTATAACTTCCAGCTTTATCGTGGCGGTCCAACGGGTAAGGAACTGCCCCCTTTTCTCCTGTTCCTTCTTCTAAATAGCTTCCTTCTCTTTATCTAATATAGGCGCAGGTGGCGCGCTGCCTGCGGCGTACGTAGGTTCCTCCTTGTACACTTTAGCTAGTTTGGTAACAATATTCTTTTTAATATGCCATATACAGAGGAGGCGCGCGACTGTAGGCTATTGTTAATATAGTGCGTTCCTTAGAGCTTGTTCTTTATCTGTTAAGAAAACGCGTGGAATAAGAGAATAGCGCTTAAAGAGCTTAAAGAGCTGCAGTACTGCCCAGTTGTAGTTCGCCTCCTTCTCTTTTAGCAGGAAATAATAGGCAATTTCGAAGTTGTTGCTAGTACACGTGACGCCGGTAATATGCAGGAAGGGTATACCGAATCTATTGGTTTTATAGGTGCAATCCAATAGAATAACGTTGTGATTAGCCCGTAGGATCTCGATAGAATCCGGATAGGCAAAGAAGAGGTGTTTAATTCGGTTCTGCTTATCTTTTATAAAGTTATATATGTACTTCCTATCACGGCCGTTAGGTGCCGGGAATGTAGAGGTTTCTAATGTATAGAGGAGCGCCTGGATAGGCGTAAGGCCGCCGAGAAGCTTGTTCCTATACCGGGTGCGCTTATTAGTAATATCGTGCGCTGTAATAGTAACCCCTTTCTTTAACAGCTTTGTATACGTCTTATTAGGCTTTGTTCCGCTTAATACATCTATTCGAATAAGGGCATTTGTGGATGCCGAGCGCTTCCTATTACAGGCGGCTGCCGTAGGTTTAAGCATAGCGTTGTGATTGTTGTGAGCTTCCTCCACCGTCTCCTATAGCCAAACACGTGAGCCATTAACTCCAGGAGGCTGCCGAGTGAGCGTACCGCTTATTTTACAGTCTACTTTATTAGTAGACGTACTGCGCACGCGTGCATAAGACTCTCTGGTGCCTCCAAAGCAGCATCGGTACCATATTTTCCTCGTTTCCTTCGTCTTTCTGTCTGGTTTTGAACGGAACTTGATGATCCCGTAGCCCTGCGCCTTTGCATGCTCTCTAAGCACTTCCTTGGCTTCATCTAGCGTACAGTAGGACCGTGGCGGTGGTGGTTTAAGGGCTATGGTGAGTGTATTAAGGAAGTTGAGGATCAGGATGTAATGCTTTGTGGCCACGCCGCACTTGGAGAGAGCATTTGGAATTAGTGAGAAACGTAAGCGAGCGAATCGGAGGCCCCGGAGCACTCCTCCGGACCAATCAGAAGATCAGACGTAAGAAGGGTGTATACGGAGTAGAAAAGGGGTGTACACCGAGTAAATATAGGGTGTACATTTAGCAGCGCCCTTTCTTTAAGGTTAGCCTTAAAAATAAAGAAATCCTTACTATTCTAAAAGAAAAGGGCTTCCTAATTACCTAATATTTTTTTATATAACTACGCTATAAACTCGGGCTTTAGTAGAAAATCTATAGTATTAAATAATAGTAAAATATAGATTATATAGTTAAATAGCTTATAGCTCTAGAGCTCTAAAAGGGCATAATTAATAGATATAAAAGAGGGTATCTATATAGGCGTTACTAACTACACACCCCCTTTTCACTCCACGCACACCCCCTTTTCACTCCACGCACACCCCCTTTTCGCTACACGCACACCCCCCCCTCCCCCGGTCACTTCACCACGATCTAATTGGCCCGGAGAGGCCGGAGGAAGCTCCGCTCATTCACTGTTATCACGTGCGACAGCGCGCCAGCGAGCCGTAGGCGTAGCTGTACGTAAGGCAAGGCTGTGCAGCATACCCGTTTTACTATGCATTCTTCCCATTTACTGCAGCCGTATATACGGCCGTATGTACGGCTATACGTATAGCTATATAAATGGGAAGGCTGCGCAGCCTTCCCATTTATCGTGCATTCTTCCCGTTTCCTGCAGTGTATATAGGCTGTTGTATTGCTACCTACGTGCCTACGTGCCTAGGAGCATGCCTAAACTATCAAAACCTCACCTTGTTACAGCTCCTTTGCATTATTCCTGGCCCTCCTCCATCGCCGCTTGATCCATATAGCCCTCAACCTCCGCAAGATACTCAGCCTCTCGGGCCCTATATGCCGCAAGCTGGCGCAGTAGCTCATCACGGCTAGGCCCTTCCTCCAACTGCGGAAGGGGCTGAGGATGAGGTTGAGGCTGAGGCTGAGGATGAGCGCTATCCTGCCGCTGTACTGCCTTCCGTGGTGCTGCCTTCTTCCGCGGTACCTTATCCTTTGCACTAGGCGGCCGACCGCGCTTCTTAGCTGCAGGTGCAACTGTAGGTGTAACCGTATGCGCTGCCGTATGCGCTGCCGTATGCGCTGCTGTATGCGCTGCCGTATGCGCTGCTGTAGGTGCTGTCGTAGGTGCTGTCGTAGGTGCTATCGTAGGTGCTGCTGTAGGT